TGTTGATGTGATCGTAATTATGTAAATGAAATCTCATTCCCACATAAGTCTTGTAAATCTTGTGGCACTTCTCGTATGGACACAAATACGGAGGTTTTGTCGCCTTTATGTTCGACAGAAACGACTTGATGTCGAAGTCGGACACCATTTTCACTCTTTGGTTGTCTTCTAATGTAGTATACGATTGTCACTCAAACGGATCCCACATGTCATCGACCAATCAGTCATTGGTCGCGGCTTTCGGTAATATCTGGAAAATGAGTTTTCGTGTCATTTAGTAAATTGAGTGCAAAAGTCAACACAAATCATACAAACCATTGATTGGTATAGTATTTGATGGCATAACGTGTCGACCATTGGATGCAATCGTTTAATGCAAACACAATTCAATCCAAAACTAATTCAATTCAAATCAAAACAAATATTTATTTACAAAATGAGTTCAAAATGAGTCAAAATTGAGTCATAAATAGTGCCGTCGTTTGAATTGGACTGGCGTTCAAACCAACGCAACGACCGCTCAATCGGCGAACTCTGACTCAACGCAACACAACTTGTGATGAATGAGCGGTGAATGCGATCCGCGATTCGAACGCCGTTTCGAACGTAACTCTGATTTGGTTTATAAATAGCAGACAAACCATAGATTAGATGCAAAACACAAACAAATGCACACAAAATGGGTTTCCATTCATTCCTATACTCCTATCACTCGACCACTGCTTGTCTATGGACTGTACGACACAACCCATAGACAGTACAGTCGGCGCACACTATCTGTGCGACCAATGCATGCAAATCGTACGCAAAGTGTCTACAAAACGGACGCTCTATGTGTGTGCTATAGTGTTGGGCGGAGTCTATTGAGTGTATGTTTAGTGTGAGTATTGTGTGAATCGAGTAAAGCGTTGTATTGAGAGTGCGTTTCGCACACACTATAGCACTATATAGTGAGTGAGTGTTTGTGTATTGCATTCGTAGGCAATCTGTCGACCGAACCAACCATTCGAACGCCATTTACACACAGAGTGTCCGCACAGTTCGGCCGCAAGAAGTGCCACACAATCAGGTGAGTGTCGGCCGACCCCAACCCCCCCTCCCCTGTGCCGAGTGGACCCCCAATGGGCCGAATGGGCGCCCATTGGGTGCCAAACATGAGCCCAAAACGCACCCAAAATGGCGTCGCAGTCACGGCTTCCCACAAAAGCGAGTCACGAATGCCTGAGTCATAGCTCCGCCCCAATCACGCGCTCGACTCACTTGAGCAGCGCTGCCGTCACTCACGCGCTATGCGTTCGCTCATTGGTTGACGCGTTGGTCGCGACCAATGAGTGAACGCATGCCTTGTTTTGGCGCTAAACTTAAGTTTGCTTTCATTGTTTTGACAGACAGTTTGACCGATGAGTAGGACATTGGATGCCCTCATAGGACAACCACTACAAGCAATACAACCACTAATAGCTGTAATAATCATTTCATCGAAACAATAGTGAAGTCATGTTGTATTTGGAGGACTACTTGGAAAGTATGACTCATTTCTATCGATATTCTCAATGAAGAATTGAATCTCAAATGAAAGCAATGAATAAAAGCTAATAAAATGAATGAAGAAATGATAGATTGCATGCATTTTAGACTTTATTTGCATTAATTGATTGACTGATTGCTAATAAGACTGATTGTTGTGATGCAGTGATTGAACACTTACCACAAGAACTGAGAGATCGGTTTACAGAAATGCGTGAAATGGATCTTCAAGTTCATAGTAAGCCATACATTGTCTTTGTAGTGATGTTGAGGTTGTGGTGATTGTAACGAATGAATGATTGTATGATTGATTGCTAGACGCGATGGACAACTTGGAAGAGCAGACCAAACAGTTCTTCGGCAACGCAAAGGTGATGAAAGCGGATCAGAGAGACGTCGAGTACGACCGCATCAAACAGGTTTGAATCACATGTCCAATACAGTGCCCAATGGTTCCCA